AAACGGAGTTTATGCTCTGATATCACCTGCCAGTCCAGACAAGAGAAACGCTCACTGAAGGTGACACTGCTTTGGTGTCTGCACTCAACATGCCACAGCATCTTTCATTTCCTGCGTGGTATAAATTTACAACTCATGCTTTGACAGGAGGAGTAAACATCTCTAATGTGACCGGCTGTGGTAAACATGCCTTTAACCTGAGTGATACTTGAGAAATTCAAAGAAACCAAAGAAACACATCAATTTATATATTTTTTTTAATGATATTCACTACCTTGCAAAACTACCAATACTCCTTGAATTTGTACATGTTTTGTCTTGGTATCTTCTTTAATATCATATTTAATGTTTTTTTTTTGCCATTGTAAAGGAAGAAAATATTCTAACATAGTTAACTTTGGAAAAAGGTTGGCTTTTCATTTTCTTCCCTCTCCAGGTCCACCCGGCGAGCTGCGTGTGGTCATTATGAAAATCAGCAAGGCGTGTTGACATCACAGAATTACAGAGTTTAATCCAATATAAGACAATGCATACACTTAGAAATAAGACAATGCACAAACCTACACCAGAAACTGCAGAACAACAGAGACATACATTCCATTACCTGACATAGGAGGAAAGAAAGCAAAGACGTACAAGACATCTTTGGAGAGTTTGCAAGAGCAAAATCTGATCTGTAACTTCTATTTAGAAAGCTTTATCCTCTTGTATCTAATCCATTCAAAAAGGGCTGGCCCTCGGTCCTCCAACCAGAGCCATCTCTGACACTGCCTAGAGCTTCCCCTTATTTACTGCAAACATCTGGGGTCATTTGCTTCTTTGTTTTAACAAGAAAAGGCGGAAAGCTTGTCCTGGCATATAGAATTCTTAGAGTCATAAAACACAAGATAAGCTTCCACAGACAGCTTGTGGAATGCGGGGGCCTTTTCCTGATTCAGTTTTCACAGCCTCCCTGGTTGTTTATTCTGGAAGACTTTTGACCTTCTGTAAACCAAGCAGAAATCTCTCCTGCAGGCTTAAATAATGTTCGCCCCCAGGAGATACTAATTTCATGGCCTGTGCTCTAAATACTTACCCATTAGTAGTTTTAAATCATTAACACAGCCTTGTTCAAAATTAAGAAATATGTTCACAAGGAGAGTATACAACATACCTTTTACACATGCCATAAGATTAAGTGTATTAAAGTCTAAAAATAATCATTTTTCTTTAACAGTCCCCGTTTTGAGGTCTGAGACATACAGACCTCACAAATAAAATGATTAAGCCTTCTAATAGAGGAACCAAAAACTATCTAGTATACTAAAAAACTAAAACATTAGCCCAATTTTATAACAGTCCCCTTTTTAAACAGCACCTCCTAGTTCCACTGCCAGGTCATGTGTCTGAAGCTAAACTCCAGTATCTGTCCAACAATTTAATACTCACCTGATGAACCACAAAATTTTAACCAGTAAAAACTAACTAAAAATACATTTCACTTATCAAACCTGAAAAATTATAAAACTCAGTTATGTCAATAGAAGAAAACACACAATAGAAATATCAGCCCAAGTATAAAATTAGAAAACCAGAGTAAGATATCTCGAAATTACTAAAAAATGCTCAGCAGACTTAAAAGACAATACTCGCCACAAAAAATACAATTTGTCAATACAAAACAATAACAACATAAAAAAATACATCATAAACACATAAAAATTACAAAAGACCTTTTTTTTTTTCTTTTTTTCACAATTCAACAATAAGAAGTTAGAGTTCGTCTCTATGCTCCTTTGATAGTCTTTCAAAAATGAATATGAATTCTTCGTCAGGAAACGATCCAAAAATACGCGCAAAAAGAAACGAATGTTCTTGAAGAGTTCGCAAAAAACGAAAACACGCAATAAAAAGAAGATAAGTTAATGATGATCTTGTAGCCTGATCCTTCACATGTTCCTCCTCAGTTGTAAACCTCAGGTTTTCACCTGAGTGTCCGTTGCTCACTGAAAATTGGAGTATTATGCCAATTTAACAGTGAGTTTAAGGAGAGGGTGCAATCTCCTTTTCTCAATGGAAGGACACCGGAACAGGATTATTGTGCCTGCCCGGGCCTTTTAAGCCTTGTAATTCAGGAAAATGAAGTGGTTTTGGCAGACTTCTGCCCGGAAATGCAGATCCTCCTCCGCGCTGTGATGTGCCTCAGACACTCCTCGACCGCAGGTTGAGACTGTAGATTCTCCTGTATGCCCTGCAGCGTGCGCCGTGGCTCCTCAGCTGCTGTGCACTGACTCCAATGGAACCACGTGTCTCCTTCTCTCTTGTAGACGGACAGCATGAGATGTACTCTCCACGACTCGGTATGGTCTGGCGAACCGAGGTTCAGACCACTTTCTTTTGATGACCTTCAGGGGCACCCAGCCGATTTCCCGAACTGATCCCGAGCCTGGACGTTCCTGTGACGTCTGGTATTTTGTAAATTCTGCTGCCAGGACCTGTAACTCATTGAAGAAATCTTTATGAGATAAATGTGCAAGCTTACCTTTCCATCCTGGAATGCGGGTAGCAGGTCCTGGAAACATCCGTCCTGTCTGGAGCTCATATGGGGAGAACCCTGTTGATTGGTTAATGATTGATCCTACACTTTATGACAGCTTTACTGACTTCCTTTTGTATTATAAATCTACTACTTTGGAGCTGTATTTTAACAATCCTTTGACCCCCTTTTTATATAAGGCTTACATGAGAAATAAATGTTTCCTATCACGTTGAACCCAAAACTTAACTGTATTTTTGAAGCAGTTCCACAATTGTTAATTTGTAAATCTCCAATTTAGACCAATTTAATTTCAATCATCATATTTTCTATTTTTTAAAACCTTAAAGAATGATCAGCCTGTTTTACATGAGTCACTAAATATAAAAAATGACCTACTTTATTCCAATCTTATTTTAAATCCCAAAAATTTCAACCATTTTTACCTTTGATCCATTTATTCATTTGCAAAACCATTTATGACATATTTAATTGAATAATGTATTACCCTTTTAATGTTGTTTATCAATTATCAATGCCTTTTCAGTTTTGGAGAGAGATTCGATACAGCTAAATTTATTAAATGATGTAAATCTTTAGTTTAGACCTTCCTGGATGTCTTAGTTAAACAACTTATTTTAAAATATATGAATAGAGATGCAACAATCCAACAATCGCCTTCCTTAGTTTAAGAAACACTATTTTATGTAAATTATTTGATAGGCAATATTTTGTTTAGTATATTCAATTTGTAAATTTTACTTATTTCATATCCAAATAGTTAGCTCATCTTTAATGCTGCTAATACACCGTAAAACATTTAATGTATTTTGATTTAACTTCAATAACCTCTTTTTCCGAAAAGTAAAGAGAGATCCAAACTAAAAATTTGCTTATCAGATCAATTCCATTCCTGTCCCCCTGTTTCTATAACAGAACAAATGTTCTGTCATAGAATACAATAAAAATCCTATACAAGTCATTGAGATGAAATCCGCTATCACCACTAACTTTAACCTCATGTAACACAGTTGGATGCAATTCAAACATGGTGTCCCAGATGCTGTTACAATCTGCACACCTCAATCAAAGAATTTAATGTTTGATTAAATTTATGAAATCAACACAGAACTTGGTGTCATTTGCTCAGTAAGCTCTATAGACACCCATCAATCCACTTTAACACCTTAATTTTAAATTCCATTTAAATTTTAAATTTAGTTTTACTGAATGATAGCCTCTGTACTATGTAAATAAAATTTAGATCATCTTCCTTAGTAGATGAAGCGTAACACACAATGCAATTCAGCTATAGTTAAAAAAATGTAATTGCAATCGTTAGTCCCTGCCCATTCTTTGCAGGCAGGAAGGGAAAAAGACACATTTAGCATTTTGTGAGACAAACAGAGTGAATCATGGAGGAATGCAGTGTCGTAACAGTTGGTGCACACCAACCCCCAACTGCATTGTAAAACCTCTGACCCCAGGAAATGGGATGTCCCCAACACTTAGAACTACACTGCAGGGCTTCAGGACGTGAAGACAACAGGGCGCCTCAGTGCTATACTAAAATAAGAAGAGAAGAATGGCATCACACACTACAAAAATTTAAAGAAAAGAACTTATTCACCACTACCAAGTTTTGTTGGCACCCATTTCGTCTCCAACCTGCAGACTGAAGGGAACCCCAGGAGTGGGCTCTGGTGCCCAGGTCACATGATCAGAGGTGAAAATCCAGGATCAAACATGAGAACACACAACAGGACCACCGCTGAGCGACTTGCCATGCCCCATTCTATATCTGCTGAATCAGAACGTGTCCAGAGAAGCAGTCATTCCAGCAGTGCAGAAACATCTGGATACAGTCCCGCTTTAATGAACTTTGGTCAGCCTTTCGTGGTCGACAGAGCAGGACATAGAAACCAGCAGACCAGTCATCTACTGAAACCTCCGTCCAGGTTTGGACAAAAGGCTATGATCTTTGTGGTCCCGACTCACGGCTGCAAAAAGCAGTATACTTTAAGTAAATTATATTAAGTATACTTAAGTATAAGTATACGTTTAGAAAGTATACTCGGGCTATGTACTTTTAGTGCACTTGAAGTATACTATTTTAATACTTCTTCGAACTAAATTGGGACATTTTTAAGTTTACAAAAGTATACTGATAGTATACTGTTCCAAGATCATTTTAAGTTTACAAAAGTATACTGATAGTATACTGTTCCAAGATCATTTTAAGTTTACTAAAGTATACATTAAATTATTAAGCAAGTACACTAATCTATATACTAGAAGTTTACAAAGTATACTTGTGGTTCACATTTTAGTTTGTTGAAGTATATTTAAAATATACCACCAGTATACTCTTCAATATCCTGCCAATATAATAGTTATATACTGCTAGTCCATATTTTACACATTCAAGATTTACTGAAACTAAAATACTATTTTAATTTGTATAAGTATACTTAAGTTCACTGACCATATTGTAGCACATCAGATATCATATCCTTACAGTTACCCCATAATGTAGTTATAATGCAATATGTTTATACAATTACAAGACAGTATCTTGATAACTTTGGTTTATTTATATAACATATAGGTTTTTTTTTCTAAATGCCATCTTAAACTATTACAGACTGCATTTCAAAATTAAAAAGCTTCTCTTAAATCAAACCGTTCTTAGGTTTCAATATTAAAATAAAAATGTAAACACATTTACATATGAAAATATAAAAACAATGAAGTCATTCTTTGTCAAAAATTAAAAACTGCAATTGACATCAAAAATCTAAACAAAAGTGTGTTCCAGATAAGGACTGAATAAGAACTGAGAACTGAAGTCCTTGGTTTTCAAAAGAAGCTTAGAAAAGTGCACATTTTCGGAACAAAATATCTTCAAAGAAACAATATTTTTATGACTTTTCATCTAGTTGCTTTGAATAGCTTAAATTGTTGCATTTCTTTCTAATGATCCTCCTGACATCTTGCATGGCGGTGTCGGGGAACTTCGCCTGGGCATAGGCTGTGAGTACAAAAACAAATATACAAACAAAACATTACTTATTGGTAAATTTCTTTACTATCCACATCTAACACACATGTCAAACAGCCATAAAAGAATGTTTTTTCACGTATATGTTTGGAACTTAAATATAATCTATAATATACAGAAACTGCAAAGAAGAAAGATGTTGTTAACCAAGTTCAATTCAGCTTATTTATATAGCGCCAATTCAAAAGCGAAGTTATCTCATGGCACTTTACAAAGACAATTTAATCATATCATACAGACAAATTGTTAAATATTTTTTATCCCCTGATAGCATTCAGTGATGGACTTTGTAGTATTCCCTCCTCCAGAAAGTCCAGAATACCATTTTTCACAGATTCTGAAACTAGTGCCTCTCAAGTGCAGACTCAGGGTCAATCAGAATATCTGAAATTGGTAAGGCCCTATAGTCACACAATATTATAGGTAAGTCAAAATGGTTTAGCACTTGTTGACATAAATACTGTCAAACAGGTTTCTTCCTTTTTAATAGCAGCAGGTTTCCTTTCATGCTTGCTCAGTATGAGGGATTGCTGCAAATCCATGGACAATGCAGACGACTCCCTGTGGCTCTACGCTTCTTCAGGAGTGATGCTGCTTGGAGAGACTTTGATGCAATCAACTGGTTCCCTTATTTAGGAATTTTTTTTTTACCAATCTGTATAATCTGACCCAATCTGTATAATCTGATTAATTTTTTTAAAGTACCTTGAGATGACATGTTTCATGAATTGCCACTATATAAATAAAATTGAATTGAATTGAGTGTGATGTGCTTTGATCCCTCATAAGTCTCCATCAAAAATGGCCCTTGTTTGGTTTAAAATATGGCGCACACACTTTCTCGATTGTAGCATCAGTAAATAACTGATATGCCTCATGGCCTCTTAAAAAAAGAAAAATGTGCATTTACCTGAAATACTTAAGCTTTGTAAAACAGAAAAGGCCAGGATGGAATGAACACACTGTGAAACAGCCTACTGTAACTCTACTGGTATTAAAACTAATATTAACTGAATTAATATATCATCGCCAATATTACAGAACACCAAACAATACAGTCATTTGCTCATAAAAGAAGGAGAAAACAGCACGTATGAATTTTTTTTAAGGACGGTTTTTGTCCTAAATTACACGCACTTACCAAGTATAGCGTCAAGTTTTGTGTTGTCCAGTTGTGGCTTCGACTCCACATTTTTGTGAGCTCCTGACTGCCTCCCAGTCAAACTTGAGTTGGCCAGTGTTTCTCGACCATAGACGAGCACCGTCAGATCCCCAATGTACAGTGCTGAACTTGTAGTATGCACTGACTTCAACTTCTGACTTGGGACTTTGACATCATACCCTGGCAAAAGGGGCACCTGCGAAGATTTGAATGTTATTCACCAAATAATTATTGTGAAATTGCTTAAAATGTTTGGTCATCTACTGTATCTATTTGACAGTAGTAGAAAACTTATCCAAAACAAACAAATTGTGAATCCATGAAAATATCATTAAATTTAAGACAGCTCCATTGAACAAACATTTAACAGATATTAAAGGTAGTTTAATTGAGATAAGTGTATATATATAATAATAACACCATGTGGGACTAGTGTAATAAAACCAACACGATTGTACACCAACACTTTCATATATGGCAGACATATAGGTATCCTTGAGTAAATACCATATCATAGGGTCAGAGCCAACTTGGGAGAATGTGTGAAGAAACTGCGGTGGCTCTACAGATGTTGTTGACAATGTTGTTATTGAGATTCTTTCAACCACATCTTTCAGCTTGTCACCTACCTGCTGGAACTCCCTAAAAACAAATGAACAACAAGGGAAAAACAAGAAGCTCAAAAGCAGCTCATTAGGTATCTGATACCATTTTAGAAAATTGAATTGCGTCATTTGTGTTATGAAGTGGGATAGAAAGGCTGGTGATTAATGGCTTCTGAAGAAAACTTCATCACCCCGAGCTGTGCATTGAACGTTTGACGCAGCACATGCTCATCAAAGTTAAGCATCTACGATAAAAAGTCAAAGAGAGGTGGAACACCAGAGAGCGCAAAAACACAAAATATGCGGTAATTGACACAAAACTGCTGAACTAACAAGCCTGAAAACTGCTGTTTAATAACTGAAATCCCAAGCCGCTCACAAACCTGAGTTTCCTTGACCCACAGCTTCTTCATCTTTCTCTTTCTGTCCATTGTGTCTCATGGGGGGGGCGGGGGGGAGGGGGGTGAACCAGCATCTAGCACGCTATGATTCTTGAGCACAGGAGAAATCATATTTTCTTTATTTCATAATTGCAATGTGTATCGATCTGCTTTTAAAATTTAATAGAAAGACTGAAGCTAGATTAGGTCCTTTTCCTCTTTGCGTTAAAAAACTGTGATTTAACAATTTGCTTTGCTGGACATTGAATTAAAATAAATACCTTCTCATGGCAGCTAGATGCCTGTCTTCACATGGCTTTCTTTCATGACGCTTGTTCCCATCGCTAGGACTTTTAATTTTTCTGCTGTGCCGACACTCCATTTCTGGGAAGCTGCTCCTCATCCTGATTACTCCTCATTTGATGTACTTTACAGCATTCTAAATGGCAGTAAATTTCACACCCTTATCAAAGTACACTACTTAAATTACACCATTAAAATACAGTCAAAAATTATAACCCTCTGAATTTATTTTTTTGCCACTTCTCTCTCAGCTCCTCGACATTTTGTTGACTGATCTTCTTTCTGGGGCGGTTTTGCTTTCTTCATTTCCTGTGACAATTTTAATTCAGTTCTTATTGTTATAACGTTATAACAATACAATACAATACGGTCTAGCACACACAATTAATGCATATGAATTTACTCTAGTTACAGATATCACAACAAATTCATAAGTATGAATAAATTTTCAACAATCCAATAGAATGTTACTGTCTTCTGAATTACAATAGACTCTCTTAATGCTGAGATATTGATGCGAGCAACTACCTTTTTTGGTTTGACCTTCATGTCCTCCTCTCAAAATCTTCCCATTATGCTGTTTGGTTTACTCTTCCCTGGGCTTCTTGCCAGATGTCTTCACCATTTATGATTTTGTGTCGCTTCAATGCAGAAGGGTCACTGTAGTTGTCTGTGTAAGAATTGTCCAAGTTTAAAAACAAGAGATTAAAGTGCATGAGATACGGTTTTGAAGTATATCTATACTAAATAAACTAAGTAAAAAAAGCTAAAATGAAGTTGAGCAATATTAAATCATATGTCAGCAAATTTAATACACTTTCTGTTAATTACGCGATGTCGTCATTCCTATTATCCGTTCGTTTAGGGGCCCCACATCCTGAAACTTGCAATTTGTTTTGTGGAGCCTGATTTTTTTTTAATCTTTTAAATCCCATCCAGAAACTAATCGACTCGCTTTATACAAAATTATTGTGCAGCGCGTAAAAGGATATTGTTTTTGAGTGCAACATGGTTTAAATACCATTCACCAGGGCGCTCTAGACAGGGGGTAAAAGGGCCTCATTGCCCGTATAAAATGGTCCCTGGCCCCTTTTTAGGCCTGTATTATAAGACACCACTTATTAATACCCTTCTTATTATATGCACAAAACTCTGGTCATTTTGACCCACGCTCTAAGTTGTGACCTGTACAGTTTACAACAATTTTAAAAATTAAAGTGTATTCCAGTAGTTTTCTTAGTTTCCAAGAGCCACAAGTCTCCCCTTACATATTATAGACAATTTAAATATCTGCCCTGTTATTATTGTTTACCTTTATTCTATTCCCCTAGATGAAAAAAAACTCTGGCCCCCACCTTGCCCCCCTGAGTAAATTCGTTCCGAGAAACCACCACTGCAATGTCACCCTTATAATTTCGTTGCAAACTCAAGGTCTAAGACTATAATAAAAATACGATAATGTAATTTAAAAAATACTTAAAAAATTACATGTCATAGTATCCGCAACCAAGTCTTTCCGGGCTTATTGTTCTAATTGCCGATACATATGAACTAACCTCCTAAAAAAAATTGTTTGAATAATGTATCTTTTTGCGAGCTTGTAGGTTATCTTTAAAAAAAAAAAAAAAAAGAGCAGCATAACTGGGCATATGGCAAACGAAACTAATAAATGAATATAGAGAACTATAGGAGTAAAAATTAACTTACCACAAACATTGAAAACCTTGAATGGAAAAAGGTTTGACCGCTGAACTTTTGTGCCTGCCTTTGACGTCGCCACCTTTACCTCTATCCATCCTTCTTCATCTTCTAGATGAGGGCCTCAATTATTATATTAGGACATTGTTCTGATCAATAACTAATCCACGAACGTTTTTTCCAACTCCACAGCCGTGTCTTTAAAAAATAAAGGGCAAATGCCATCTCTTATCATGAAAATACTTCTGAAAGAGCTAGTTTCCACCCCGTTGTTTGTGGGAGAAAACGTTAACGCACGATGCGGAATTGCATCGGCATCCTATTGCTGCCCTGAAGAGAGGCCGGAACATGGCGAGGAAACGGACAAGTCAGGTGACTCAGAGGTATAAAGAAGAAAACCACTTGTAATGACCATTAGAGCTATGCAAAACGTCCTTTGACTTATCAAAGATATTATTGGAGGATTATACAGCAATTCCCAAGGATACCAGCACAGAGTGGAAAGTAAAAGTCAGTAAAATAATAAATTCAGACACTATGCCAGATATTCATTGTCAAAGTTCAAAACAGCTCAGCTATCACTCCTAGCTCATCCATGCGTAAAATGCTTTGTAATGTCTTACATATATATATATATATATATATAATATATAATATATATCTCTATAAATGGTATATGCGATATAAATATATACTACTATGATGTATAAAGATTAATATATAAATATTTTATATATAAATATATTATATATATAAATAGACGGTGTATGTATATTATATATTAATACGAATATATATATAAATATCACTATATATATATATATAAATATATATTAGATATATTATGATATAATATAATATAAATATATATATATTTCTTGGTGATTGACTGATATCTGCCCATGACTAATTACATCCTTATTTGAGCAAATATAAAATTATTACAAGATCCACTCAGATACCTGTGGACAATAAAAATCCTTGAGTGGTCATAAACAAATACAACATCCTGCCTTGCCAGGCCGAAAGACAACCACCAACAACACCTTTTGAGAGTCACCTGTTGCTTCAACGCCAGAGTTACAATGTAACCATCAGAGTTATCCTTCACTACAAAGTCCTTTTGACAGGCCTTTCAACCTTCGAAGCATATAATGACCAGTTTTAGGGTCTCAAGGATTTTTTCTTTCCAAATTAAACATTTAATTATCTGAATATATCGTTAGCAGGCACAAACTCAAATTTGTTGGCCACTAAAAACATTGGAAATAAGAACATATTCTTAAGGAGTTCACCAATGTCACCTCTGAACATGGAGAAAACATAAAGAAATCTGGGTGGGCTTAAATTAACAAAGGTACAGAATAAAACTACAAGAGGTAAGCATAAGAGAATAAGATGAAAACATTGCTCCCCCCCAACTTTGTTTCTTACAACCTGGTGACATTCCTGATGTCAAAGCATCTTCATTCATAATTAATTCCCAGATTATCTTGGTAATGCCATGTTGTAGTAAATATTGGCAGCTAAGCTCTGTTTTGATCTATAGATGATTGGCTTGAATATACAGTGAAGTAATTCATTTTAGGTATTCATTATTTATGTTTTCAAGCTGTAAGACGAGGCTGTAATGGGACAGCCACACTGAACGATCCCATGAGTAACTCCTTGACTGATGGAGAGAAGAACCCAGCCGATTCTGAATGAGGACGAACTCACATAATGACAACTCTTCCACAACTCACCATGACGATATGATAAGCGCACAAAAGTACAATTCTAATTACAGTTTTAGCCTTATTGGATTTTTTGTTTGCTCTTTTAGTGATAGGTAATGCACAGCCAATTTCATTATCAGAGAAATACCGTCAGGTGTTCTAATTACACCTCAATTTGTCATGTACACACATTTCACGAGTGTAAGCAGTTTGCTGTATTAGCTGACCTAACCTAGCCTAACCCAGCAAAAGCAACCAGCACACTAGCTGCACAACATCCAACATTCTTATAAAGAATATATTTCGCGCACTCTGTTTCTTTGTTCATAAGTATAATGATAACAAAATGAAACACGATGAAAGACACACTGTATGGAACACTTCCACTATGAAAATGAGTGGGAACTCATTACTGGCTAGCATGACC